GCCCGCTGCCCCCGCCGTCCAGCCCGCCACCTGCTGCCCCCGCCGTCCAGCCCGCCACCCGCTGCCCCCACCGTCTAGCCCCCGCCCGGCCCCGCACTGCACACGGCACGGACACATCACCTTGTGGTCTCCCATGCAGACGTTGGGCCCAATGTGGTCATAGGTGACAACCTTCTCCTCGCTCTCCGACTGGGAAAGCAAACAGAGAGACCCGTGTGGGAAGGTGGGGATGGCGGGGCTTCCTCGGGGAGCCCGAGCTACCTGCCACCTCCCAGCAGGCAGAACATTCTGGAAGCCCTGGGAGCCACTGAGCCCCTGGTTCTTCCTGCTTCCGGATGGGAGTCGGGGTGGGGGCCCCCCAAGCTGTCCTCTGGCACGTGCCCCTGGGGGAGGGCTTTCTTCTCAGGCGCCCCCCACCCCCCACCGTGCATCTGGCGTCCGTTTTCCCTGTTTCTGTTTGTTTGGACAGCCGGTTCTATTAGCCCAGAACTGTGTTCACACGGGAGCAGACGCCTCTGAATCCCGCGCGGCTGCGCCAAGCACTTTGTACACATTAATTAACCGCTGTGTGCACACCGGCCCCTCCCTCCCTGCGCCTCTGTGTCTGCAGGCCAGGCAGACCCCTGTGTTTCGGGTGCGACCGTGAAGGGTTCGTTCCTGGCAGTCAGCTCCGACTGGGCCGGATTTTTATATCTGCAGCTGAAGCATCCGAGACTATGAAGTTAAAACTGAATTATCTTTAATGCAGTAGGAAGCTTAAGGTCAGATTTACTTTCCAGCATGGTCGCCTGCCAGAAAGTATAAAAACATAACCTTCTGCTCCGTATGCGTGAGCACTTCCCATCCTTCACGATCGCAACGCTGCCTCGCGGAAGTGGGGGACATCCGTCAAGCGCAGCACGGTAATTTACAAAGGCAGCATAAAATTGTGGATTTCCAACTGCATAATCTTGAGACAGATAAACAAATTACAGCAGTGCATGCATCCCGGCAGCTCCCAGGCAGCGCTGCCAGCCCGCCACCTTTGGTGTTTTAGGGCTGGGGAAGCAGAACGGAACATGGTGACGAGGTACCCGAGCGTAGCATGATGGATGAGGCCGAGGAGCCGCTCACGAGGCGCGTCTGATCCGACGGTAACGCCCGCTGCCGCCGGGCAGCCCCCGGGGAGGGCCTGGGGGACGTCTGCCCGGGAGGGGGGCGGCCCTCCAGCTCGGAAGCGTCCAAGCTCAGAGTGAGCATGAAACAGTCTACAGGGACCGCCTCTGCCCTGCCACACATGCTCAGTTTCCTGCAGAATGCAGTTTCCTCGGCGTGGGTGCTTTCCCTGTAGACCACTCTTGTCTCTTCTCTGTCCCCAAGGCCCCTGTTCTGGCTGTGGCCGTGCGCTCAGCACACCACATGTGTTCAGGGCCGGCAGGCATGCAACCGCACACAGCCGACTCCAGAGCATCAGCAGCAGGTCCGGCAGAGAGAGCAGGGCTATGTCCGAGGCTGGGCACCAGGCAGGCTCTCCCGGGTCTGTGCGCTCCTGGCCGACATCCAGTGCAGCGTCAGCCAGGAAGGCCCCCTGGGGAAGTGGCCCCGGGAGCTGTCCCCAGCGGTGGGCCCTGGGTGCAAGGGTGTCACAGGCGGGGGCACACCCAGCACACAGTGCAGGGGGAGGAGTGCCGAGGCCCTGACGGAGCAAGCTTGCTGCAGGCCCCCCGCTGGCTTCCTCTGGGCTCAAGGAAGAACACAGAGGGCTGGGCTGGGGGCAGGGGCCCACTGAGTACGGGGCACAGGGTGTGTGCATGGCAGGGCGTGCTATGAGCCTGGGGCAGCATGTGGGGGGCTCTGCCCTCCTGGCTGTGATCCCTCTCGCCCAGTGTGCTCCCAGGCCCTGGGGTGAGGACTCAGGGCCCAGCTAAGGGGTCTTGTTTGGGGGGGGGCAACTGGAACCTAAAACAGAGCTCAGGTCAGGGACGGCTCCCCAAAGGCCCACGTCTGCTCTGAGCACCAGCCCGCCCCCCCCATATCAATGCACTTGTGTGTGATTTCCCATTGATGGGTTGACAAAACGAAATCAGATATTGATTCTTTTGAAAACACCCTTTTTGTATTAAAATGTGGGCACTGAAAATTCTTGAAAATCAGGAGGCCACAAGAAACCTCAGTGCAGGGTGCCACCTCTTGAATGTTCCCATTTGTTTCTACCGTGTCGAGCCCAGAGGTGAATCAGGCTCTTGATTTACATCTCAGGGAAATAAGGACCGACGTGTCCACCATGCTTTACACAAGCGCTCTCGAGGACATTTCATTCCCGAGGATACAATAAACTGTAAGGATTTTGAAGGCACTGATGACCGTGTTTGCATGCTGTGGGTTCAGAAAGACATCATATGTCATGGGGGCCCCTCAGGCCCGGGTGCTGGGTCTCAGGTGGCCGAGGACCCATCTCAGGACGACGCCAGGGCCCATCCCGGGGGCCCTCTATGTGTGGCTGGTCCTGGGGCGACTCTGGCACTTACCTTCAGAATCAGCTCCCTGGCGGATGGGGACATGAGGACACGGTCGCACCACGCAGGGCACCGGGTGTTCATGTACTGCCGGCCCTGGCCGGAGTCCTCGCTATATGGGTAGCTGGGGAGACACAAGGGTGCCTGGTCAGGTGCTGGCTCCGGCCCCGCCTCCCACCATCTCCCGAGTCCCCGGGGAGGGCCGTGTGGTTCTTCCCGTGCATGTGGGGTGGCCAACGCCACGCAGGGAAAAAACCCACGTAGAGAGGTTTCCGGAACACGAAGTCGAACCCGCAATTTAAGTTCTCACTTGAATTTTTGTTGTAATGGGATCTTGCGACAAACCAATGGCATCGTCTAGGACACTGTGATTTTAGTTTTGGACATAGTCAGAGGACAGTGAAAACCTGAATGGGGAAGACGGGCCTCCTGCCCCACCGGCGTCCCAGGGGCCTGCCCGGCGCGTGGCCTGACCTGCCTGTGAATGCAGGGGAGCCGCTGTGGGACTTCCACTCAGTCATCCCCTCACGCCTCTGGAGGGAGCCTCCGGAAGCTGGGGCGTGATACGGGTGCACGCCCTGTCCCCACGCCCCATCCCCACGCCCGCTTCACCACAGCACCTGGTCTTGGCAAGTGCCTGGTGCCCAGGCCACAGGCTCATTGCTGTGGCATGGCCTGTGACTGTCCCTGACTCGGGCTCTCGCCACACAGGCACCCCTTCCCACGCCCTGACCCGGCTCAGCCCCCGGGAGAGGCCCTGACAGCCCCTTGGGGATGGAGCTACCACAGCTGATCCACCGATGGGCAGAGACGCACACATGGCCAGGTGATCCCCCTCATGTTCCTTGGGCCTACGGGCAGCTTCCTTCTGTTTCCAGAACTCCCTGGAACAATCCTGCCACCGGGCCCAGTGGGCCTGCCTCCGTCCACTTAAAACTGCTGGCTCCACCCCCAAGTGGGCATTGTGGTTGGGACTGACTGAGTAGTAATAATGAACTCAGAACGAGCTGGCCTTGGGGAGATGTGTCGCTGTGTCTGCTGCATCCGCACCAGGGTCTGCGTATCCATGGTGCATCTTGTACGGCTATCTTAGAGTCTAAACTTCTCCTTGTAAAAATTTGTTTTTAGGTTAATTCCAAAGTACCATATGGTCTTAGCTGTGAATTAGCTTATTCTCTGCTATGCTTTCCCGCTGCTGGGAGAGAGGGGCCGCTCCTGCAGCGGCCCCTGGTCTGCTGAGGACTCTGGCCCCCAGCCCTCTGCTCTGTGGCCTCAAGACCCGTGTCCTGCTGTGACCATCAGGCTTCGCAGAACATACTTCTGCCCTGAGCTAATGGTTCCTGGCCTCGATTAAAGACCCAAAGCAGCAAATATGCTTAAAAACAACACAGTTCCTACTTCTAACAGCATCACCCATGTAGAGAGCCCAGAACACGAACTACCCTAGAAACTCCTCTGCAGGAGAAGTGGCGAGCCGGCCGTCCAGCCCTGCTCTGCACATGCAGGGCGCCCGGCTCAGCTGTGACCGTGAGGGAGTGACACCACCCGGCCGGGACTGCTCGCCTCGCACACACGACCTCTCCCGGGTGCCCGGGGGACACGCCGAGGCTGGTGGCAGGTTCTCTCCGGAACATGCTGCCTGTGAGCCGGGAATCAGGGGTCCACACGGATCAACCCCAGTTTCCAGAGGACAATGTGCTGAGTTGCAGGACGAGAACAAGAACCCCCCTCACTGGGGGCAGAGGTCAGGGGTGAGGGCGGCCACGAGCAGGCAGCAGGTGTGGTGAGGGCTCTCTGCCAGGAGACAGCGAGTCATCCGAGGCTTAAAAGCATCACGCTGAGATGCGGTCCGGAAACGGGATGAACGCCACGCGCTCAGACACCACCCTCGACGCTCAGTTACACCCCCGATGCTGCCAAGAGGACCGGAAACCCCTTTGCAGGCCCCAGCTGGTCTTGGGGTCCCATCTAGGGCTGCACACGGCACCCACAGACCATGAGGATGTACACCGGGGCCAAAGTTCAGTGTTTATACCTCGGGCCTGGGTTTGTGCCAGGACACAAAATCTGTCAGGGAGGCAACACGGAGCTCCCGCCCTGTCCATGTTGGGATCCGACAGGTGGTCACGACTCACACGGTGATGCTGGGGTGAGTCCCAGAGAAGAGCAAGCTTCCGGGTTTGCCCCCGAGGGCAGTCCTGGGAGCCCTGCGTGGCCCTGGCCCATTGTGCTTGGGCAGGAGCCGGCTGCCACAGTCCAGTGTGAACACAGGTGACTCAAAAGGAGAAAGAAGCTGATCCCCAGAGATGTCCTGCTGGTGGGGGCACTGCCCTGTGGGGGTACCCCCCCGGGGCTGTGCCCTGTGGCCCCTGATCCCGGAGAAGGGGGCACACCAGAACGGAGCTGGTGCAGACAGGCCCAGGGAGGGAGGGGGCCGGGCGGCACCCCGTCCTTCCTCTGACAGCTGAGCACAGGGCACGGGGCCGATGCTGCCAGTCTGCAGCCTGCGTGCCTCCAGAGCGGATGGTGGTTAAGTCCATGCCTGCCATGCACGCACACTTATCTGGAAGCAAACTCTGGCGGGGGCGGAGAGGGGAGACAGGACAAGCGCCCAGCTGTGCCCCCGTGAGGGAGAGCCGCCGTGACCGCTGGTGATGACACTAACGATTGCCCACCTGTCCTCAAGCACGCAGCCCTCCCTGCCCCTCAAGCTTCTTCCCTCAGGATGTGGGCAGCAGCCCCTTTGCCATGGCCAGCGACCGGCCCTGTGGACCAGGCTCAGGACTCCATCTGAGCCGCAGGACAGGCGGGTGGAGTCTCCACGGCCCCAAGCCTGACAACACGGCCAGGAAGGCCCGAAGCCCGGCCGTGCTCACCAACCTGAATCTACGGGGCCGGCCGCACATGGGGACCCCGGGCGCAGGGGGAAACAAGCTGCAGCCAGACCCGCACATTCTGCACCTGCTCTCCCAAGTGGAGGGTACCATGGTGGGGGTGCTGCCTGGAGCCTCAGGGGGGCTGTGGGGACGGAAGTCCCTCCTCGGAGCCCTGCCTGGGGAACAGTGCCCACGTGAGTGGCCACGGACAAGGCACAGCGGTGCAGACAATGCACCCAGCACGGCAAGAGCAGCTCGGGACCCCAGCGTCCCCAAATACTCGGTTCCAAAAATACCAGCCGTTACTGATATTCCTGGAAAAGAGAGGGAAGGAAAAAAAGGACAATCGAGGAAAATGAGCAGGAACCATGGCAACACTGAGCTATCTGGTGGAGGAATTCGCAGCAAAGACCGCCCAGGAGAGAGTCCCGGGGCCGGCGGCACAGAGCGACCCGGCCACCGGGCACGGCCCTTCGCCCCGCGGCTGGCTTTCCCGAGCAGCTCACCTCTGGCCGTGCTCACCCTCCGGTGCCCACCTCACGCACCTGCCTGGGCCATGGCCAACCAGGGCCCTGCGACCAGTGGGACAGACAGATGTCCTGGCTCCTTCCCAACCAGCAGGCCTGGCAGAGGGCAGACCACGCACCTTCTCGTCCTAACCTCACAACTAGACACATTATTACAGATGGGAATCTACAGAGGATTGAAGTTTAGATAATGGCCCAGAAAGAAGCTTGGAAAAGAGCCTCTTTATCCTTAATTTAAAATTAAATGCATCCATTAAGACAGCCCGCCTCCTCCCGTGAGCCTCCTGCATTCACCTGTTATCACACACACTTTTGAGCTTTTCAAAAGCTAGACTTTGTCTTACTCTGTAATCAGTTCGCTCAGTAAAAACGTGTCCTTCCCAACATGAAAAGTTTGTCTGCCTTTGAAAGGTGTGACTGTGATTCCTCCCATTCCACTTCCCCTGAATGAGTAAATTACTTTCCAAGTGTGGAGGAGTAGATCCAGGCCTTTCACGTTTTCCGATCCTCTCCATCAACTTTGCATAAACTGTCACACGCCTGGGGCAGGGCCCACGTCCCCCCCGCACGACCCCCACGGCCCCTGCTAGCCTTCCTGCCGCTGCCTGGAAAGTCATGGGTTGTGACCCCAGCGCCACCAACCAGGCACATGAATGTGAGCACGCGGCACTCACGCCCTGTGCGTGGCTCCGCCCGGGCATACTGATTTCAGACTTGCTCACAGAGCGCAGTTTGTGGCCACCACTGTGGGACGCTCCCCTTCAGCAGCGAGTACCTGTCCCGCCATCAGTGCGCATTCTGGCTCCTCCCACCTCTGGCTGGTCTTGGAGTGTGGGGTGCGGAGCCCCCGGGGTCCCTGACACCCTTCCAGGTGGGTCTGGAAGGTACACTCATCACCTCCCTAATGCGCCGTCTGCCTGAAGCAGCGGCCTGGGACGCGGGTGACGGTGGTGGGAGTCACACAGACTCAGAGCGCCCACACAAAGGAACCAACGGTTCCTTGACTGACTGACACTCCAGACTGGGAGGCGTGCTGTTTCGAGACGCGGCGGGAGGAGATAGACACACGCGGTGTGCTCTGCCCTGTGCCCATTTCGGCTCATTTTCGTGGAGTATCTTTGTTTTGCTAGAAAGGCAGAGACTGTTGTCACTCAGAAATGGGAATCAGACAGGAGTTTTCTCAAGAAGCAATGAAATGAGCCATTTTTCCCCTCCAGGAAAATATCCAAGGGTATTTGTTGTCAATGACAAAATTCCAGCTTTCAAGGAAAACCCAGGGCTTTGGAGGATGTGTATGGGCCTATGTGCCTGACAGCGTCCCACGGGAGGGACATGCCGTCCGACGCCTGCCAACACCTGGGACGTGCGTACAGTCTGGCAGCCCGGGCGTTCTGAAGGCCCAGCCGGTGATGTTACCGGTTGTGTGCGTGGGCAAGAGACCCCTTCCCGTGGCCAAGAACTAGTGGGTCACAGATACGGTTTCAGACCCATGCCGCGGCCCGTGCCCGGGCGAGCTGTCAGAGGCACGTTTACGTCATCGGCTCAGGGACACACCAGCTGGCATCTCAGACCTTCATGTGGTGGGGTGCAGTCCCCGGCGTGCTGGCGGGGGCAGCGCCATGTGGAGCGCAGGCGTGGGCCCTCCAGCCTGGCCTGTGGCACACTCTGCCTCTGACCGTCACCCACAACCAGTCACCCTAATGAAGGTGCTATCATGCTGAGCCCTCGGTGGAGAAGAACAGAGCTGAAGGCTCCGTCAACGCCTGAAATATTAGCACCTTTTCTAGCAAAATGACAGAAGTAAGTTCTAGTCCATTAGGAGTGAGACTCTGTTAGCTGGTAGAGAACAGCGACAAAGGTGTCTGCAAAGATCCGCTCTCTCCTTACAAGGCCCGTCCGCTGACGAAACGTCCGTGCGGCTCACTGGTGAGCAACGGGCGCCGCGGGCCGCCCCAAGGCAACGTCTTGCTCTGCACGGTGCTGAGGAGGGGCTTTCAGGAAGGGACCGGATCCACGCCATTGGTGTGCAAGGCCCTCACCACGTGGATAAGGGCAGAAAGGCTCTGAAAACCACGAGCAGCAGCTACAGGAACGGATGCTCCAGGTCTCTGCGCCCCCCGCGTTCCCACACTGCCCCCTGGGACAGGCAGACGCCCTCGGATGGCATGCCCCGCATTCCCGGTTTCTGAGGCCTCTCTGAGACCAGACGCAAAACAGCCTGAGGCAGCCATGGCCCTATGGGCCCAGTCCTCACAGCCTTCCAGAAAGTACTGGGAGCCTCCTGGCAGTGTGCAGGGAGCACAAGCCTGTCCTGACAAACCCCCAGGAGCCGCAGTGGCTACGGGGAACACACAAGGCGCGCTTTGTCGAGACCTTCTGGCCAACGCAGGGCAGCTTGCAAAGTGAAGAGCCATTCTCACAAAATGGAAATGTGTAGGGTGAGATCCCCTGAGCTGTTCACATGCCCAAGCAACACACACACACGTGCATGAACGTGCACTCCCTGCTCCTGTGCACACCACGTGCACATGAATACACTCCTGTGTACACAGTCATGCACATGAAACACCTACATGCACACTCGTGCACACACACGTACTCACACCCACATGCTCACAAACACGTGTCTACACAGTGCACAGCACTATGCCCATGCACACAATCCTGTCCTTATTCCTGTGTACGCACGTGTGTGTCCACACACGCATACACAGATCAGCACGTGAGCTCACACACCACACGCTCACACATGTGCACACACAGCATGCCTGACCGCTTATTTTGCGGTACCATCAGAGAATATCTGGCAGGCACCAAACCCCTGACCGTCACTCATCACCTGCCCTTTTCCCTGACTTTGCTGTTGCTTACACTCTTCCCACAGCCTGCAGCGGCTCTGCAAACCCCACATGGCCAGCCTGGGGCTGTGGACTCTGGTCACAAACATAGTTTCAGAAATACAAGAGAGCCAAAGGAGGGCGACTGGTGGGACCCAGGCAGCGGGGGAGGGGGATGACCTGGGCAGTGGGGGAGGGGTGGGTGACCCTGGGCAGCGGGGGAGGGGGATGACCTGGGCAGCGGGGGAGGGGTGGGTGACCCTGGGCAGCTCACAGGATCTCTGACTGGAAACTGGGCTCTGGTGGTTGAGAGCCGTCAGTCTGGTTAGAAAGCTTTCACCTTCCCTCCCGGAAACTACGATCTTATTTCCTAATTAAAGGGAAAGTATCTGATGACCTAACAGGCAAGGCCTGCACCTAGGAAGCCAGTGTCCTCTCCTGTCACTGCTCCTGTCCCCAACCAGAGCGAGCACTCTGCTCCTACGGGCTCACAGGGTTCCCCGGGCCGACGGCACCCTGCAGCGAGTCCCGCCAGCCACATCATGCAGGACGTTCTCCCACCACCTAAGCCAAGCAATCCCGTGGAGGTCTGTGCTCAGCAGCTGTGCCCCGCACCTCATGGACCTCGCAGAGGGCAGGGTGACCGCCCCCCGTGTGCACCTCCCACCCCAGGCGTCCTGGTGAACGCAGCAGGAGGTACTCCAGTGACCAACACACACAGACAGCTCTCTCAGGCTCCTCCCACGTGGCACCAGGCCATGTCCTTCCCCTGTCCGGGCGTGAAAAGGACCCCAGACGAGCAGGCAGGATTTCATGGCCATGGACTACTGCCACCGTCCCAGGGAGTACCTTTCCTTGCCAGGGACCACCAGGCCAGGACCCCACTACCCTATGTGGGTGTGTGAGGGTTGACGTGTCCTTCCAAACTCTTGATGTGTTCAGGTGTGAGCAAGCAAGTTTCTCTGCCACCCGTGCTGGTGGTGGGCTTGCTGCTCACTGCCCACCCCCGGGGCACTGGGCACTGGCCACCGGGACCCCGGGGCTCTGGTCTCGACCACGTCCTGCTGGCATGTTCCATGTCTGTGCCCAGGTGACTTTCAAGGTGGCAGGTTTGAAAGAAACTTGAGAAGCGGATGCCAGCGCAGGGCCCATGTGTCCACAGGGTTGTGACCTCTGCCCAAGGTGGCCCCCAGGCCTCCTTCTTCCTCTCCAGCTCAGCAAAGCCCGAAAAAGAGATCCTTGAGTTGTTCAAATAGGGAGAGCCATTCAGGACATCTGGCCTACCCCACCCAGGAAGAGGCAGTCTCACAAATCCTAAGAATCTCTCCGGATCTCAGGTGTATCTGATGTGCGCCTGATCGCAGGTGACTACCTGTGAAGCAGGGTCGGGGCTCCAAGGGGGACACCCTTGGTCAGTCCCCGGGTGGGAACTGCTGGGCACGCTCCTCTGGTCCTGCTGCATTCTTGGCTGTTCCAGACCCACAGTCTCTGCCTGTCTGGCCTCCTAAAACTCACGCTGTGGGCCCCTTGGCCAGACCTGGACCTCGAGGTCAGAGGGGCGCCAGCCCATGCCCACAAGCAGCAGGAAGTCCCACGTCCAGTGGACTGTGGGGTCCTCTGCCAGACTTCACACGTGCGACTGCTGAACAGTGGCAGGGGGATGGGGCCCCTCACAGAGCACGCATGAAAGCCCATCTGGTTTTCGAGCTTGTTCTAGGAGCAGAGTTATTTTGTCTGATGACAGGGTGTGGAGTGCACCCCGAGACACTCCCATGCCCGTGTTATAGTTTCCCGGAACATGCCCGAGTGATGAGAATTTCCACCCAGGATCTAAAAAAGGAGAGAGGGGTAGGGAGGGGTCCCATGATAGGGCCTCCATGTCCTTAGGGTGCCCCCCCCGCCCAGAACGACCGGGGTTGGCTGAGCCGCAGGTCCAGCTGCAGCTTCAAGGCCACCTCCGCAGGCTCCCCTTTGCCCCATGCCCTCTAAGACCCTGGGTGCCTGTGTGGGCCGCATCCCCCAGGCTGCTCACGAGGGAACGGGCTGTCATTGCTGCAGATCTCCAGATTCTGTAAACACCAGAGTAAAGCTCAACAAAAGCTTCCATGCCTAAGAAAGAGAAAAACAACCCAGAACCTACCCCCAACACACTACATTGCCAAAGATCCTGATGATCCCAGAAAGACCCAGAACCCAGAGTTCTCTGGGGCCCACAGCGTGCTAATCTGAGAAGGCAGTACTTTGCATATTTAAAAAAAAAATCTTTTTTTTTTTTTTAAGAGCAAATAACTGCTTCTTGCTCTCGGCTGGCTGCGGTCCTCAGGTTGTGGAAAGGGCAGGAGGCGGAGTGGTGTGCACAGGTGCACGCAGGTGCCCGAGAGGAGAAAAGTTACCTGCTCATCCAGCAAGTGGGTGTTCCTTACCTGGGAGGGAACGAGATGTCCAGTTCATACAGTCTGTCCTTAAAAACAGACAGCTCTTTGTCAAATTCTAAGAGCTAAAGAAAAGAAACAGAAGAAAATAAGGTCACTTTGGTTTGCCTCACTGGACAACAGGAAAGTCTCTGGTGGTCTGTGTGCAGCAGGGACCCACGGAACTTCCAGGAAACTGGTCCATCTGTGGGTAGCCCTTCCAACAGCTGCCCATTCCTATCCCCGGGGAGATCTGTGGGCACCCAGCATGCCTTTCTGCCTGGGAGGCCATGCCGGGACTCCAGCCCCACTGCCCATGGTTGACTGGCCACGCAGGGCCACCTTCCTCTGCCAAAACCATGAAGGGCAGCGGACCCAGCAATGCCCTCACGCCAAGGCAATGATCTGCAGAATGGGCGTGGCTCTCATTTTTGCCCACACGAAGTCAGAGAGCGAGCAGGCAGTATGGGATTCCAGCAGTAAGCTTGGGAGTGAAGCACTGGTTTCTACACGTGGAGAAGACAGAGCAGCCTGCCCTCAAAACTCTTCAGAACCAAACCCCAAAGGGCACGGTGCCCCCAGCACGGAAGGGTGCCAGCAGCAAGGTCTAGCCACCCTGGCTGAGCTGAGCCTCCACTAGGTACGGCCTCAGACGTGCGTGTGGATCACGTCCTGACACGACCCCAGCACCTGGCTCCTGTCCTGGCCGCCTTGTTCATCCCTCCTGAAGCGTGGCCTCAGCAGCTCGGTGTACATGGGGACGACCTGTGTGCCAGGCTGCTGCCTGAGCCACCTGCACACAGCACACCCCCCCGCCGAGCCCTGGTGCAGGTCAGAGGGAAAACAGAGCGAATGTGCACCAGAAGGAACGGTCTGTGGGTTGGGAGGGTAAACCAATTCTCTTGCACTCATGCATTCCTGCAGAATCCTGGACACTCACAGACACGAATCACAGAGAGCCTTAGACCCTGCCTGGTGAGGCTCAGATGCCAGGGGTTGGGGGCCTGGACCCCACAGCTGCCACGTGTGAGCTCACATCTGCTGAGCGTGAGCCTGCCCAGTGCTGCCCCGATGGGCACAGGACTGGGGAACCCGGGGGCAGCTGCAGAGCAGGGGTGCAGGGTGGGCAGGGGAGACATGGGGTGGAGGGCCCGCAGGGGGAGGGGAGGCCCGGGGGAGCACACAGGGGCTTGGCTTTCATGGCACCAAATGGCCTTGTTGCCCCTGCATCAAGGGAAGACTCCAGCTCCTCTAGAGTCCAGGGAGGGCTCCAGGCCAAACAGCTTCTGATAAGTCCCTGAGTCAGGCCTTCAGCTGGGGATGGAGAGGAAGTCTCTAGGGAGAGATGCACCCTGGAGTGTGTGTGGGGCCTGGACAGGTCTCGCAGCTACGTGTATGTTGACACGTGTGTTTGTCCTTGCGCTTATGTGCACGCACATGCCTATAGCGTGTTTCTTGTCTAAATCACCCTGGAGCTTGAACTCTCAGCCTTTTCCCAGATGGGGGCACAGGCCCCGATGCCGGAAGGTGGACGTGGGGGCGGGGGGCTATGGGCTTCATGCAGGCACTGCGTGGTTTTGACCAACGATGGCTATAAGAGGAACCGGCTGGCCCTATAGGTTCGGGTTAGGGTTTCCAGAAAGGACCCATCTGGAGAAGTGTGGCCATGGCTGACCGGCGGTTTAACGGAAACGTCGAGGGCCGTGTCCTTCAACAGGATCACGTGCTTCTGGACGCAGGGCCGGGCTCCACGCGCCCGCAGTCAGAAAACCTTCCCATCTCTCCCAAGTTCAGCTCGGAGGCTTAGACAAACGCAGCACCGCAGAGACCGAGACCGTGGACCGGCGGTGTCCCGTGGAGCCTGCATGCACACATGCCCGTTCCTTCTGCACGCCGCCGCTCGGGGCGGTGCCTCCTGCTCTCTGCCGGAGGCTGCTGCGTCCACCCGTGAGAGGTCCCAGGGCGGCTCCGGCACCGGCCGCGGGCAGACCCGGCGCCAGCAGCGCGTCCTCACGGCCCTTCGCTCGGGTCCCTGTGTTGCCGCCAGCATCCCCCTGCCGCTCTATGTCGCGTCTTCTCTTTCCATCCGGGGTCCCACTGTTCCACGTGGACACATCCTGCTCCTGAGGACTCATCTCCTGTGGTTCCAACATCAGCTTTTGCCAAATATGGCCTCTCAGGGCGTGGCGCGGCACGCCGCCCCCACCCCTGCCGGCCTGCTCAGGGTGCCGCACCCCTGCACGCTGCTGCCTCGGCAGTCCCACCACTAATTTACCCACCAGGACTTCACTTCCGCGGCAACACTTGTAGAAGTTCTGTGTGTTTTTTAATCTGCCTGTTTCTTTCAGGGCGTGTTGTTTATTTGTTTCTGATTCTTTCATATTTTTAATCCTTCTAAACATTCTTATTTTATAATTTCTATCAGTTATTCTGGTGTTCCTCTGATCTTCTCAAGGGCGCACCCTCCATATGTTGGGCTTTGGACTACAAGCTCGCCTCCCGTGGACCTTCATTTGGGGGACAGTAAACGTGGTGCCTGCCCTCCATCTGATTGCCCCCCAGATACGAGAAATGCAGGCAAGGGGCCAGGCACTTAGGTACAAATACTCTAATTGTAATCCCGAAAGCTGCGAGGTGCTAGGACTTAATTCTCTTCCTTACACTTTGAAGGAAACCCGGGAATAAACTAGGCCCCAACCTCACGGCAGCTGCAGCGTGCCTCCCGGAGCCTCGGCCAGAGAGGACGCTCCCTGCCCCTCGGGCACCCCTCCTGCGGGTGGACGGCTGCAGTCTCTTCTGTGTGGCTCACCTGCACCTGACCCTCCTCTGTCCCCAGCAGCCTGTGAGCCCCATGGGGGCATCTGTGTCCATTCTGCACCCAGAATGGGGCTTGGCTCCGAGGAGCACCCACTTAGTAGCCCCAGGACTTTGACAGAAATCCAAACAAAGTTTCTAAAGTTCCCTCAGGAAATGAGACGCTGCCTGTGCCCGGATTCCTCCTGTGAAAGGGGTTCTTTTCTCCTCACTGCGGGCGGCTACCTGATGCCGCCCACACCCCCATGCTCCCTAAAGGAGACAGCACTGCCTCCCGGCTGTGGGCCAAACCCTCAGCTGCTTCTCAAACTCTGCAAGAGGACGGAGGACCCACCGTCCTTGGTGGCCAGGGTTTGTTCACACATGTGCACACGTGTGTTCTGTTGTGTTGATACATTTCTGACCACGAGGACGCTGACCACCTTCACTCCACTGTGTATCTGACCCCAAGGGGCAATGGTGGGGGGGTTCCCAGGTCGCCACGATCAGCCCTGGGGCACTGAGAGGGACTGGAGGGGGACGTGATGGCGCAGTGACGCTGGCTCTGTGTGTGTGTGCACACGCGCACATGCACACCTGCGTGTGGGTGCCTGGGTGCACATGAGCACATGCGTGTGAGCGCGTGGCTTTCAATGGTCACCTACTGAACATTCCTCTGTTTTGTGCAGCCTCAGAAAGGGACCCTATTAGTCTTCCTGGGCCCCGCACCACCTCGGTGGCCAGAATCTGCCCGGAGGGCATCCACACGGGTGCATCCACGTGATGTGGTTTTGGAATATAGGTGAGGTTTGGTGGGGTCCTGAGCCACTCATCACAGATGCCACGGCCCGGCGTCTGCAGGTACCTGCACTATGGCACCCACATACACTTCAGCAAGTGCGGCCTCGCAGGAGGAAGGAAGGAGCTGTTGGCGTGGCTCAGAGCAGGAGGGCCTGAGGAGAGCCTGTCAGACCAGCCGCCCTGGTCCCGAACAGCAGCTACGCCCGGGGAGGGAGCCACTTGGACCCCACCACGTTTCACCACATTTCTACTTGCTAAGTGTGTAAAGGAAAATTAAAGCAAATAAATATCTGGTTTGGAATGGGTTTGAATCTTCCAGCTACTAAGACAGTAACAGAGCCACTTTGGGGAGGACCCAGACGTCCGGGGTAGGGTCTCCGTCCGCAAGGGCCGCCCTCCCGAGCCTGTCCTGCTGCCCACACCGCAGCCCACATTCACATGGCCCCAAGCCCCTGTCCGGAAATGGATGCTTCTGAGGTGGCACCGCCTGGAAACACATCCACACACACCCAAGCTGGCCCATCTGGTCGCAGGCTGGGCGGCCAGCATGCTGGACCCCCCCCCCCACTGTGGGACCAGGAGGGGACAGCGCTCTGGGCTCCATGAGAACCGTGGGGGGTGTGTGGGGGGGGAGTGCGGCCCCTGGGGCCAACACCAGCTGTGAGAGAGGTTCCTGATTAGAAATTATGTTGCATTTCTGTGGAAATGATAATTTGTTTCTCTTTGAGATTTTTCAGAAACATGATAACCAATTTCACATGTATCTTAAACATTCTTTTTGATTACAAAGTGAAAAACAGCGCGGGCGTGTGTAGACAATGATAAAGCAGCCTGGCTGATCATACGTATCTGTCAGAAGCTGTCCCAGCCGCACAAATTCCACTGTTACTGCAGAGACACCACGCTGATAAAGAAAAAAGAGCCCGGAAAATCAATGCGCCTTGAGCTAGAGCAGTTGCTAAACACACAGAAAACATCTCTATCCAACAGGCCGAGCGCTGTGAAGATTCCCAAGCCCTGCCCTGGGACAGCCAAGGAAAATTTAATCTCTCCAAATCCTCACCAGGGCACTCCATCCTGCCGCCCTGACAGCCACACTTATAATTAATTATACAATTTCGATGGGAATATCGACTAAACAAAGCTATAAATCATAGAAAAAGTCAATAGGCATGGACACATTCAATCATGTCCCGGCCAATGATTACTACTCTTAAAATACAATAATTATTTCCAGAAGCCAGCTTGAATTAAATTTCTGTCAGACGGGTACAAGACCGGTGCTTGATGAAGGGCGCGATGGATTTTGGGGCTGCGTCCGGCACAGGCACATCCATCCTGTGGATGGGTTGTTTGTTCCAGTGGCCGTGGGGCTGTGTGCCTCCCCACCGGGGTGCGATGGCTCGTCAGACCATTTATCTTGTCCCCGTGGCTGGTCTGGATGACCCCGCTTCCTGTGTGTGACGGACGTGGAGGCGGCCCGGGGCACGGAGCGTGCACACCGGTGTGACCCTGCGGGGCATTTCTGAAGGCACCGAGCGCCTGGGACCCTCAGCAGCAGCAGGATGGTCTGGAGAAGCCCCGGCAGACCCCTGAGGAAGGCGCCGGGCCAGGCGCGACTCTCTCCATCTGAGATTCCGGACACACACGACAAAGGGGCACATGGGTCTTTCCAAAATAGCCACGTGGAAATCTACTCTGTAACTCTGTACTGCATTTTTTCATCTCTGCATAAAATATTCTCCTGAATATTCAAACTTTCCTCCATCTTTAAAAATTTCATATGCTAGATAAACACAGAGATAAAAACTGTTATGTCCAATGGCGACAACACTTGTTATTTCTAATGGTAGTAACACATGCTTTGTCCAGACACTACCAGAGAAAGACAGTGACCGTGGATCCGTGTGCGCTGGCTCCCCGTTTCCAGGACGCACAACTTCTCCCTGGCTGCCCTATGCCACCCTGGCTCAGACCCCACAGCATACCCTGCTCACCCATGTCCTGCTCCTTCCGGAACATTCCAGGCCCTGGCTGCCCCAGTGCCACTCCCACGTCTGCTGTTCTCCCGCTTTGTTACCACCCTGGAGGCCTCACTGTCCCCCCGCGTCAGGGGGATGCCTCTGTACCAGGGGCCCAGAGAGCCCACCCTGCCTCCAAGCTCAGAAAGTCATGCAGCTGCCCAGAGAGTCTCCCGGGTACTTCCCCTGCAGCCGGTGCCCCCCAACAGTCCTGTCCCCAAACCTGCCCCTTGGGGTTGCCTGTGCCCCGAGTGCTCAGGCCCTGAAATCACCGGGTTGCTGCACACTTTGGCGTGGATGGTAGGTAGGACAGGTCCTCACCCTGGTGCCTCCCGCCCAGGGGAGTGGACTGGGCTGTAAGTGTCTGCGTGCTGAGCTGGGCACTGCAGGGGACATAGGAGGACAGTCAACCTCACCAGGGCCTGAGGCCCCCTGAGGAAGTGAGATATGAACTGGCCAGGGCCAAAGGGCACAGTGCCCACTGGGACAGGCTGGTGGGAAGGGCAGGTAAGGAAGATCAGAGCATTTGCTGGGGCAAAAGTAAACCCAGTGCCTGAATGGGGGGGGGGGGCGGGCAGAGAGAACCAAGCAGTGAATGAGGCTCAGAGACCAGAGCAGGCTCCTGGCCCGTGTGAGTGAGCAGGCTACAGGCTCACCTGAGATGCGTGGGAAGTGGCTAAGGGCTTGGAGCTGAGGCCTGACCCTCTGCACACGAGACAAGCCCCAGGCTGGGCCCCAGGCTCGGGGTACGCTGACAGGGCTGTTGCAGCAAGTAAGAGGCAGTGGCCCCAGGGTAGTGGACACAGACTCGGGGAAGGACACATGTAGGGGTGGAGGCGGGAGAGCAGTTCCCGGCCAGCAGTGTGAAGGAGGGACACAGGACCGACAGTCTGCTGCCCGGTGGGACCGTGCTGTCTCCCAGCACCCACACACGCCAGCGTCCATCTGCACACAGACCGGAGGGACCCTCCCACACACGGATGGGAAACAGAGGTACAGGTGTAGAGCACTCAGCACGGCTGGGGCCTGAGGGCAGGGGTGACAAGACCAAGCGGGGCTCCCAGATGCAGAGAGGTGAGCACAGGGATGGTGGGGGTGGGGCATGAAGTCCAGGCTTTAGAATAAAGTATCTTCGAGGTGGGTGACAATGGTTTTGGTGGCGCGGAGGCCAGACTGCAGGGCGTGGGGGGACTGGGAGATGAAAAGGGGGACAGCTATGCACAGAGCCCCCCAGAGCAGGGGTGGGCGGCAGGGAAAGCAGACAGGCTGGAGGGTGGGCAGGCAGCAGTTGTGCTCAGGTGTCCTTATCTGCCGGGGCACCCGCCCTTAGGGAAGCCTCACACTTCCGGCACACGCCACCCAGGACCTGCCTCTGCACACTGCACCCCGGGGGCTGTGGGGTCAGGAGCCGCCCCCTCATAGACTGGGACTGGCCAGAGTGGGGCTACCACACACGAACTGCTCATCCCCCAGTACTCTGTTACCGCACAACGAGACACCCCAGAAACACACTAAAGCAGGCCCGAATCACAGGGCGGGTCTGGCTGCCCCGTGCTGCGTCTCTGGATTCTCGAGGGCGGGCGGTGGTTTCAAAGCAGAGGAATGGCTCCCGCAGGACCAGGTCTCAACCAACACGCACTGCACTCTGCACACACGCACGCGTGCACACACGCAGCCACGGGGAGGCCTGGTCAGACGTGCACACGGAGCCCAGGCCTGTGTTGGCCGCCCTGAGCACCTAGGGCATGAGCATCCCACCTCCCACATGGAGGGTCTCCAGACCCAGGGCGGGGACTGTCCCAGCTGCAGGTGCACAGTCCCGGGGGCCCAGGAACCCAGGGGCATCTGGAGGCAGCGCTCACCGCAGTGCCGTTGTTGTCACGGAAAACCTCCTGGTTGAAATAGTCGAAGAGTTTCTTTTCCAGCTGAAGCATAACCTGCAGAGTGGTAGAGGCCGTCAGTGCGGGCGGAGCGGGACCACACCCGAGCAGTCCCTGCGTTCCCCAACTCCAGATGGCCACGGTGGCCTGCTGCGGTCGCAGCCCTCAGCTCGGGGTGCGCTTACCTTCCTGTCATTGTCCGACTCACGAAATATCAGCTTCACGACTTCGTTGGTGTCAGCGGCACGGACGGTCTGCATCGTGGCCTTTGTGCAGAGAGTCTGGGAGAGACACAGAGGGGCCTCAGTCCCACGAGAGGGGCCCACAGCCCGTCTCCTCAACGCGATCAGCACACTTCCTGGCCTCTCTCCCTGACCCCGTCCTTTCCAGCCCCTCCACGTAAAGGGACCGCGGACCCGCCGCATGGCAGCAGGGGTGTGACGGGCACCCCGTCCAAGGGCAGGCCTGTCGGCAAGCGCCGCACACCTGGAGCGGGCCCTGGCCTCCCTGTCCACCTCGGCTCCCGGGAGCTGCCCCACAGCTGGCTTGGCTCGGACCCTGGAAGGTCTGCTGGGGCTTCACTGAAGACAGCCCTGTGCAGGGGAGGGGCGGGGAGCTCAACAGCCGTCCTGTGCTGTCCCTGTGGCAGGCTGGGGACACACACTGCCACGAGATCTGCCCCATGGGCAGCGGGACCGGACGGGGACGGCAACACCAGGGAGAACAGAGGCCACGCTGGGTTCGGGGCAGAGACTGGGAATGGCTGAACAGGCAGGGAGAGGGACAAGGGAGCAGGGTCAGCCCCACAGCCACACGGCACAGCCCAGGGCATGGCAAGCAGGCCACCGTCTGATGGACTACAAACTAAATTACGTCTAGGTTTGTTGAGAAAATCCCTCCCGTCGGAACTGCACGTGAGGCGGGAAAGGCTGGAGCGGGCGCCAACGGCGGCTCCCTAACGGCAGGACGACACTGGAGACCCAGGGCAGCAAGCTGGCTCCCGGGGCCCTGGGCCGTCAGGGCTACTGAGGAACGTATGTAACAAAGGAAGTGCAAGGGACTTGTCCTTGTTCAGAAGGAGAGCAGCACAGAGAGAAGGCAGACTGGACGTGGCAAGCGGGGGCCCCCACCCCCTGCCGCTGACATTGCTCTTTCCTTAAGAAAAGGTCACATGGGACCAGGGTCCATGCACACAAAATGTCCAGAAAGGGCACGTGGAGGCTGCCTGGGACTGAGACCGGTGTGTAAACCAAACCTCAATGGAGCTATTCTTTAAAAATGACTAGATGAGTTTTATTAAAAAAAAAGAGAGAGAGACCACCGCAAGAAAACAACTAATTTTGACTCATGGGCCCTTGTGAAGTTGTGAGAAGCCCTTCACCCAGGGGAGAGTGGCAGAGCAGGCCCGGGTTGGGTGGGGACCCCTCCTGAGCAGGGACCCTTTGGGATGAGCCGAAAGCCCCTCCAGAGCCGGGGGCAGACCCCTTCCAGGTACGCGGAGCAGGGGGCGGGGGGGGGGGGGGGGGGGGGCGTGAACACGGCCCAGCATGGGGCAGGGGAGGCAGCGGCCGCCGTCCCCACAGCATCCTCCAGGACAGGCCATTGACATTCAGAGCACAGATGAGTTAAGCAGGTCAAGCCCCCAAAGTGGCTTTTGGACTCATGTGTCACAAATCAGTCTGGCCGCCTTCAAACAGCAGGGATTAGAACAAGCGCAGGAACAATCTGGAGCAGAGCGCGGCCACCCTGCCCACCCCTGCGTCCCGAGGAGGTCCAGCTCCATCCAGATGCTAATGCGCTTAAGTGGCTTAAGTGCTTCCTTGAATGGGGGAGGGCTCCACAGGCTGACGGCCATTGTAGCCACCCCAGGATGCGATTCAGGAAATTCTTGGTTCTTCTCCCAAAGGCATCTGCTAGAAACTTTTTAAAAAATTGCTTTATTTAGCCATTTCGGGCGGGTTCCCAAAGGATAAACATCTGATCAGCCCGGGCGCTGGGAGAGGGGCCGGCGCTTTCTCCGCACCCTCCCACGGAGCCACCTCATTCACCAGGTTGTAAAGAAGTGATCAGGCCCCGGCCAGCCTGGCCTCGGCCTCCTCTCTGCTTTCAATCCGCAGTCATGACCAGCCATGCAGAAACCTGCAGGACGGGGCCTTTCCGCTCGCCTACTTATGGAAGGGATTTTTCTTTTGAAAGGAGAAAAAAGTAATACCCAAAATGCTATTTTTTAAGAGCTACCTAAGATTTATTTCATTATCAGCAGCCACACGAAGGGGCAGCAGACAGGACAGCCCCACACTTTGTCTTCTCGGCACTCGGAGTGCCGGTTTTTGTCTTGGAGTCTCACGGGACCGCTGTCCCCAAGGCTGTCCACCTGTTGTGTGGATAATGAAATTCTTGGGTTTCTTCTCAGTCCGGGTAAGTTCTGAAGCAGGGCTGCTGGACAGGGCACCCACAGGGCTCTGGGCTGACACTGGGGCCCTGGGCTGGGTTCGGGCTGGGTTCGTGTAACTGGGCTGTAAACCCCAGTTTACAGCCAGCCTGACACAGCCTGCGTGCCCTGCCCATCCAGGAGCTAAGTCTGTCCCAAGCACTCCCACTCAACTGCTACCATGCTCCCCCATGGTACAAAAGTCAACCGAAGATGCCAGCACCCCTGGACCTTCCAGCCGGGCCTTCAAGATGCAGTCTTGCAGAATCCACTCCATATCCTCTGCTGCAGACATAAAGGCCCCGTGGTCCATGGCAGCACGGAGGGTGAACGGGTGGAGCTCAGTCCCCACTGCAGAGCATGCACTGGTCTGACCGGCACCTATCACGTGCATGACAGAGCTCCAGGCTCTTGGTTTCCTGGGAATGCTGGCTGGCTGGATCGGAGAGGTCAGGAAAGTCCAGAGTTCGAGTCTCCTTCTGGGCCTTACTGAACAAAGCCTGATTTGGGGGCAGCTAGGTCTGTTAGGAAGTATGTCCCCAAGTTCCATGCGGTATGTTTTAGTCTGTGTTGGTGAGAGGCACATAGAGCAAAAACATTTGAACATAAATTTGAAAAATTCCATCAGGAACAGGAATTAGGTAAGGCAGCTTTAACAGAGGGTGGAAAGTCTCCTTGTTTAAACTGCTTAGTTTCTACACCGTACGTGAAAAAGCCACAGCTGTTGTGCTGCGTACCCCACTCCAGAGGCGGCAGGACACACGCCTCCATCTGTGTCCAAAATGTGGTCTCTGAACAGGTTTCCCGCAGTTTGCCGTGAGCTCAGCCGGCCGAGGCAGACTCTCAGCCAAAGTTTCCAAAGGACCAGCTCAGCCCCGGGCGGGCAGGCGGCCTCTGCACATGCCAGGACTGGGGGGGCCGGTCAGTGCAGAGCTGGTGGTCAAGGGTGTCGGGGTGAGACCATGGGGACCCTGTAACAGAGGGTTCCCGGAGGAAGAACTGGACAGTGAATGTGGAGCAGACATGTGGGGGCTCCAGGGACAGGCAGTCAGGGAGCTGGCGAGGGGCTGAGGGGCCCCTGGGTGCGGTGTCTTCAGTGTGGGGACTGTGGTGGGGAGCAGATGGACAGACGGGAGACAGGACATGGGCCATGCTGGGGAGGCAGTCTCTGGAAGCGGGCCCGGGCCACAGGATGTGGACAGTGGAGGGGATGCGTGCACCAGTGCAGGTGTGAGTCCAGAGGCCTGGCGGGCCCTTGACTTCTCGGGGGCACGCCTTTCCCTCCCCCTGCTTCCCTCCATCCCAGGAAACGCAGGAAGTTGATGTATATATTGGAAGCATATTTCCAATTTAAAAATGTCTCCTGAACAGGAATGGGGAGTCCTGCCTCTGTCCGCAAGGCCCCTGTGGGCTGGGAACCTGTGTTTGGTTGCACTCTCCCCCAGAGTCAGGAGAAGTCCCCATGGAGCAGGCAGGGGTCTGGTCTCCCTCAGGCCTGGAAGAAGCCCACCCCCCAGGCCCGCGACGCACATCACTCTGCACATTCGGATGCACTCAGGGTCATGGCATGGGGAAGGACTGTTCCGGAATGCAGTGAGGGTTGAGTTGGGGCAAGCCTGGGGTCAGCAGGCTCCTCACTGGGGTCCGTGACATCCCATCCCCAGAGCCTGTGCAAGAACCACAGAGGCCACAGTGGCCACAGAAGCCGAGCTAAGCTCCTGGGAACATGGGTCCTCATGCCAGGAAAGGGCCCTTTCTGCTCCCGTGACTTCCTCTGACCGCCCACGTGTCCTGGGTCCTGGCAGTCCACACATCCTGTCTCTGTGCTTTGACGCAAAGTCACCTGTTTGTTGGTGGTGCCATGAACCCCCTTCCTGCAACTGAGCCCCCCTGTCAGTGATGGCTGGGTCCCCACTGAGGGCCACAGGCACCCAGAAGGTTCTCAGCAGATGGTCTGCATGACTTGACCTCCAGAAGCATTCTGAGGAGGCCCCGCTCCTCTGGGAACAGGATCAGAAGGTCCCGGAAGAAGGTGCCCTCCTGCCCAGAGCACAAGGGGCAGCCAGGGACGCACATGCAAACTCCATCCCTGCGGCCTCCTGACCTGACCACTGGCCCCAGCAAAACCTGTCCCAAATCGGCACAAGGGGGAAGGCCGGCACCTCGAGGATGCCAGGCGCTCCTTGTCTGGCCCGGAGCAGAGTTTTCCAGAGGGGTGAGCGGGGCCATTGTCTCGGGGTCGCTGTCCCTCCCCCATGGCTGCACAAAGAGGTGGGGCAAGGTCCAATCCCGACTTTAGTCAGCGATGAAAACCAGTCGGGCCAGATGTCCACAGACTGTTTAACGTGCAGGGAGTGGACAACAGTGCCGGGGCTGGGATGTCCTCAGCAGGGCCACTCAGGGCTACATTAAACAGAACAGAAGCGAGCCCCAAAGCCAGCCTGGGCCCCGCGTCCAGACACAGTGCAGGCAGTTTCGAGGAAAACACTGGAGCGAATTCTTAAGGAATTAAGAATTAAGAATTAAGAATTTCTGCAGCCGCGGGAATAGACTTTTCTTTGTTTTCAAACCGAGACCACTGAGGGAGGCACTGGGACCCTGGAGGGCCTCACAAGGCCCCCACGGCCTGGGGCAGCATCCTGGACACATGGACACCCTCACCTGATCTCTCCCGCCAGGCCGCCTGTGGTCGCAGCTCTGGAGCTGAGCTAACCCTGGGCTTTAGCCGTTCGCGTGCCCCATGCTCCCAGAGAGGAATAACCCCACCGGGAGAAGGTGTTTGATTGCTAAGCAGAGTGTGCTTTTGGCGCGTTCCAGACGTCAACACTCATGGAGGAAAGGAGGAGAGAG